CTGACCCAAATGGAGATAAAGAAAACAGCCCGCTGATGAAAACATAAGCTGTCAAACTGACTACAGCACATCAAAATCAAATTTTGGTTCTCAGGTGAAAAAAAGTGATTTGATAATAACAAGTTTATGATCTATATTTTATTTCATAACCATGCCTCAAAATTCAAACTCTAAGGCCTTAATGTTACTATTAAATTATGAAATCTAACCTCTCAGTGACATTCTCATGGTTAATTCCAGCAAAAGGAGAAAACCCAAACCTTACCAATGGGGCATAAAATATGAATCGTACAGGACAAAACATGCTTGTTAAAACACATGTTGCTACAACATAAAAGAGAAAAAATGTCTTTAGTTTGACATAATTTATATTGCTTTTCCTGTTCCTAGACTTCTTTAGAGTACTTTCTATGGTATTATATACACTATTTTCACAAAAGTTGAGTCTGTTCTTTTTAAGAATACGTGTTTATTAAAGTCTACTTTCTTTTGTTAAATAAAAATTATTACCACAGCCCTAAAGAGTTTTTAAAATGAAGCGATTGACTCATTTAAACCTTGAGGTATACACAATTACACAACTGAGGCAGAGAGCAGTTAAGTATGTTGCTTAGGGCCACACAGCAAGTAAACAGTGCAGCCAGACACAAACTGAGGCAGGCTGAGTCAGGACCCACACTCCTCCCCAGTCATGCATGTGTACGCCATGACTAATGTCTGTCAGCAACCAGCAAATTACTAAATTGTTCCTGTGTTGATGTTTTCTTAATTTAACTGTCTTAATTAGGGGTTTTTCAGTACATCAAAAGGGTGCTTTTAAAAGATAGGTTTTTTAAAAATAGCTTTAAGGGGAAAAGGGTAAGTCTGGCAGGCACTGGTTATGTTCAGCACAGGTCATTTTGATGGGTTAAAATTCCCTGCTAACTACAGAAATCCTTAGTTAGAAAAATAATATAATAGGCAAATCCTGTTCATTATAGGAAAAATTTTCTAAATTAGTGCTAGAGGTTGGCTATTAGACGGATAAGACTAACTCATTGTTTACACTGGGGTTACAGAATCTTTCAAATCCCATGAAAGATCTCCATGAATTATCTCGGATGCCAATTGGTGCTGAAAATATTCTCAAGAGAGGCCTAATTTAGCACAACATATGGGCTGAAGAGGTTGAGAGCTCTTATATCACAAAGCTATCCCCAACCAAAAGGAAGATAACGCATTCACTCTAAGAAATCTCAGTATCGTTTGATTTCCAGCCTGTGGGATGCCTTTCCCTCCTTTATTTCTTATATGAATGGAACGGAAATGTAGCCAGCAAAAAGATTAGTATAAATATTAGTATAAACATTAGTATTAATATAGGTATTAGTGTTAGTATTAGTTTTAGTATTAGTATTAGTGTTAGTATTAGCATTAGTGTTACTGTTAGTATTAGCATTAGTGTTAGTATTAACATCCACATTCCACTTTAAATGTAAAAATAAACTCATTATAGTCAGCCAGACGGTATGAAAGCTTCCTGTAAGACATCATGTGCTTCTTCTATAGCCTGAAACTAATGAATAATGGATAATCAAATGAACTTGAACAACCCTAGAAAACACCATGCCTCTAGTGAATCACAGAAATGTCCTACATTTGCCACCTTGTAAGAGGGAAACTGTGTTGGCCAAGAAAAATAACAGTGAAAACCACCAACTGACCCAAATGGAGATAAAGAAAACAGCCCGCTGATGAAAACATAAGCTGTCAAACTGACTACAGCACATCAAAATCAAATTTTGGTTCTCAGGTGAAAAAAAGTGATTTGATAATAACAAGTTTATGATCTATATTTTATTTCATAACCATGCCTCAAAATTCAAACTCTAAGGCCTTAATGTTACTATTAAATTATGAAATCTAACCTCTCAGTGACATTCTCATGGTTAATTCCAGCAAAAGGAGAAAACCCAAACCTTACCAATGGGGCATAAAATATGAATCGTACAGGACAAAACATGCTTGTTAAAACACATGTTGCTACAACATAAAAGAGAAAAAATGTCTTTAGTTTGACATAATTTATATTGCTTTTCCTGTTCCTAGACTTCTTTAGAGTACTTTCTATGGTATTATATACACTATTTTCACAAAAGTTGAGTCTGTTCTTTTTAAGAATACGTGTTTATTAAAGTCTACTTTCTTTTGTTAAATAAAAATTATTACCACAGCCCTAAAGAGTTTTTAAAATGAAGCGATTGACTCATTTAAACCTTGAGGTATACACAATTACACAACTGAGGCAGAGAGCAGTTAAGTATGTTGCTTAGGGCCACACAGCAAGTAAACAGTGCAGCCAGACACAAACTGAGGCAGGCTGAGTCAGGACCCACACTCCTCCCCAGTCATGCATGTGTACGCCATGACTAATGTCTGTCAGCAACCAGCAAATTACTAAATTGTTCCTGTGTTGATGTTTTCTTAATTTAACTGTCTTAATTAGGGGTTTTTCAGTACATCAAAAGGGTGCTTTTAAAAGATAGGTTTTTTAAAAATAGCTTTAAGGGGAAAAGGGTAAGTCTGGCAGGCACTGGTTATGTTCAGCACAGGTCATTTTGATGGGTTAAAATTCCCTGCTAACTACAGAAATCCTTAGTTAGAAAAATAATATAATAGGCAAATCCTGTTCATTATAGGAAAAATTTTCTAAATTAGTGCTAGAGGTTGGCTATTAGACGGATAAGACTAACTCATTGTTTACACTGGGGTTACAGAATCTTTCAAATCCCATGAAAGATCTCCATGAATTATCTCGGATGCCAATTGGTGCTGAAAATATTCTCAAGAGAGGCCTAATTTAGCACAACATATGGGCTGAAGAGGTTGAGAGCTCTTATATCACAAAGCTATCCCCAACCAAAAGGAAGATAACGCATTCACTCTAAGAAATCTCAGTATCGTTTGATTTCCAGCCTGTGGGATGCCTTTCCCTCCTTTATTTCTTATATGAATGGAACGGAAATGTAGCCAGCAAAAAGATTAGTATAAATATTAGTATAAACATTAGTATTAATATAGGTATTAGTGTTAGTATTAGTTTTAGTATTAGTATTAGTGTTAGTATTAGCATTAGTGTTAGTGTTAGTATTAGCATTAGTGTTAGTATTAGTATTAGTGTTAGCGTTAGTATTAGTGTTAGCGTTAGTGTTAGCGTTAGTATTAGTGTTAGTATTAGTGTTAGCGTTAGTATTAGTGTTAGTATTAGTGTTAGCGTTAGTATTAGTGTTAGTATTAGTGTTAGCGTTAGTATTAGTGTTAGTATTAGTGTTAGCGTTAGTATTAGTGTTAGTATTAGTGTTAGCGTTAGTATTAGTGTTAGTATTAGTGTTAGCGTTAGTATTAGTGTTAGTATTAGTGTTAGCGTTAGTATTAGTGTTAGTATTAGTGTTAGCGTTAGTATTAGTGTTAGTATTAGTGTTAGCGTTAGTATTAGTGTTAGTATTAGTGTTAGCGTTAGTATTAGTGTTAGTATTAGTGTTAGCGTTAGTATTAGTGTTAGTATTAGTGTTAGCGTTAGTATTAGTGTTAGTATTAGTGTTAGCGTTAGTATTAGTGTTAGTATTAGTGTTAGCGTTAGTATTAGTGTTAGTATTAGTGTTAGCGTTAGTATTAGTGTTAGTATTAGTGTTAGCGTTAGTATTAGTGTTAGTGTTAGTGTTAGCGTTAGTGTTAGTGTTAGTGTTAGTGTTAGCGTTAGTGTTAGTGTTAGCGTTAGTGTTAGCGTTAGTATTAGTGTTAGCGTTAGTGTTAGCGTTAGTATTAGTGTTAGCGTTAGTATTAGTGTTAGTATTAGTGTTAGCGTTAGTATTAGTGTTAGTATTAGTGTTAGCGTTAGTATTAGTGTTAGTCTTAGTGTTAGCGTTAGTATTANTGTTAGTGTTAGTGTTAGTGTTAGTGTTAGTGTTAGTGTCAGTACTGACAACACTCATGTAATAGCAGCAGTCTTCCTCTGTTCATATTACCATCTGCTCTCTCTCCCATCATCAATCAATCAATCTTCTGTTGACTTGACTTTTCAATGACGCTTCCCCCACTTCTTTTCTCTCCATTGCAGCAAAACTCTTCAAAACAGCTTTCTATATGAGATTTTTCTATTTCTCTCACATTCTCTCTTACTCCCTGTATAATCAAGTTTTCAATCCTGTCTTTTCAAAGTCACCAGTGACCTCCACATTGGCAAATCCAATGGTCAATTATCAGTTCTATGTTATTTGATTTATGAACAGTATTTCACAGTTATCCTCTCCATCTTTTCATCGCTTGAAACACACTTTCCATGAATTCCTTCTTCAATAGTTCTATTGAGATATAATTCACATACCATACAATTCATCCATTCGATGTGTATGATCCAATGGTTTTTGGTATGTTCTCAGAGTTGTGCAACCATCACCACAATCAATTTTAGAACACTTTCATTACCCCCCCCCACAATTCATCCATTCGATGTGTATGATCCAATGGTTTTTGGTATGTTCTCAGAGTTGTGCAAACATCACCACAATCAATTTTAGAACACTTTCATTACCCCCCCCCAAAAAATACCTGTTCATAGTCACTCCCGAATTCCCTCCAAAACTCCCAGCCTTAGGCAACCACTAAGCTACTTTTCTATCTCTGTCTCTGTAGATTTACCTATCCAGACATTTCATTTCACCAATACATGTTATTATCTATCTTTTTTATTAGAACCATCCACCTGGGTCTGAAGTGCTATCTCATTGTGGTTTTGACTTGCATTTCTCTCATGGCTAATGATGTTGAGCATCTTTTCATGTGCTCATTAGCCATTTGCGTATCTTCTTAGAACTGTATTTGAATCCCTTGCCCACTTTTAAAAAACAATGATTAGTAAACTAAAACTGGGGATTTTTATAGTAAGTATTGTTATGCCAGGAATCACCACAGAAACAGTGATCCAAACTAATGTTCCCATTCCAATTGAACGCATAACTTACCTGACCCAGATCCAAGGTGAGGTTGACTCTGTTGTACTGTGTACCTGAGGAGAGCGGAGGGCTTTGCCACCAACGTTCAGATCCATCGATTGCATTGGTGGCTGGATGTGCTTTCCTGGGGTCCTCAGAATTGCAATAGTCACAAAACTGGCCCTGGGGGGAAAAATGTTCTTTTTTTACTTTCAAATAATTTTTTCATATCAATTTAATAAGAGAGGTAATCAAACAAAAACCGCTTTATACAGCTCAGAGATAGCTTATCATGCACAAGATATTCTGAAGACAGTAGTAAGGCTTTCTCTTTTTTCATTTAGTGTTAAGCCATATCACCTGTTTATACCTCTGTCTTTTGCATTTCTAGGATATAGATTATATTTATCTTTCATCTTTTACAGCTATGTTTTTCTTGTTTTATACAACACTTCAAGAAGAGCCTGTTGTATTGGTATGCAAAAATATTTTCACTTCAACAAAGCCATTTTACTCTTTAAATCCTACTCCACAATTCTTCTGTAAGTATGCAAATAACCATCAGGGAAGTGGAGTACAGCAAGTGCCTCTGGAGAGGACTGAGTGCTGGGATCAAAGGCAGTGGATATTCCAGGGTGGAAGAGATGGCATTTAAGTTGCCTGTGAGGATGGATAGGACTTTGGTAAGTGGCAGTGAGCAGCGAACAGGGAAAACATGCCAGGCAGAGGAAACAGCATGAGCAAAGGCACAGGGGCCAGCTGGTCCAATATGACATAGGTATTGAAAGACAAGTCTTGACCGGTTAACAGGGGAGATGTGGCTGACTGTGAATACCAGAGTGAGAAGGTGGTGATTAATTCAGTAAGTAAATGGGGATCCATTTTTACCTGGGGTTATATCTGTTTGCTATTATAATCTCTAACTTCTTACTGAATTATTCTTTTTTTGGTAGGCAGATTCTTTTGATTCTGGTTTTTCTTTTGTTTTGCTTTTTGCTATTCAGAATTTTATAGCCATTTACCATCTAAAAAGCTGAACATAGGTCTTTCTTTTATGTTCAATGTATTTTAACTGGGCCAAAGGACCATGCTTACCCAGGGATGGACTTCACATACTGAACGACTCTGCTCCCAAACTAAATTATTTTAGAGCATAACCACCACATAGACGGGGGACAAAGAAGCGAAATTATACCCACAGCCTCCTGAGAAATGTACTGTGACAAGAGGTAGCTCTGCCCCTGGCCAGCATCTTAGAAGTTAATTCTTAAATGTTCAAAGATAAATTTGATCGAGGTATGTAACCAAATGTGTGACCAAATGTTTTCATGTAGTATGCAACCGATGGATCTTTCACATATGGTGAAATACTTGTGAAGGTTTTTATCTCTGGACATTATATAAAAGACATTTCTATAACTCAGAAACAGCATCTTGGGGGTATGCAGCCCCATCAGTTCATGAAGTCAGAGACCACGTGTGGCCTGTTCCTCATTCTATCATTTCCACCTAACACATTGCCTGCCGCCCAGTGGAGGCTCAACAGAGGAGTGATTCCATCAGCAATTTTCAAAAAATTTTTGGGTTCTTTCTATAAAATTTATTATTATAATAAGGAGTTTAATCAATAACTTTCTGGGGCCAGCCCGGTGGCACACTGCTACAGTGCGCCGCTTGGGAGCGCGGTGGCACTCCCGCCGAGGGTTCAGATCCCACATACAGACCGGCCGCTCACTGGCTGAGCAAGGTGCGGACGCAACGCCGAGGGTTGCGATCCCGTTGCCGGTCCCAGTCCGGTACGGGTGCGACATTGAGGGTTGCGATCCGTTGTCGGTCACGGGTTGCGATCCATTGCCGGTCACGAAAAAAAAAAAAAGACAAAAAAGGAATAACTTTCTAAGCTAGGACATCTAAACATTTATTATTAATATTTTTCCCTTCAATGATCTTTATTTTTCTCATTTTTTTCCTAGACAGCATTTCTACCAGTTTAATTACTTGATGAGGGAATTAAATCATGGTTCTTCAAAGTTTAGAAGACAACATCTGGTTAGAAGCAAATCTCTTCCAAAAATGTGGAAGCTTATTACTTACATTTATCTCCACCTCTATAATATAGATACAAGGATTGGAGATGATGCTTTTTATGTTGCTATAGTGATTCTCAACTTGAAAATAATAATAATTAAAATGAACATTTACAGATCATCTATTTTGCCCTGAGCACCATACACTTCACATCTTCATACTCAGATTATTACTATCACCTCTATTAGAGAGGTTAAGTTATTTTCCCAAGAACCGCACAACTGGTAAATGGTAGAACCAGGACCTAAACCCAGGGCCCCAGGGATAACAAGCCAATCACTAATCAGTAACTCACTTCCCCACATCCAGCAGCTACAACTCTGGTTAATTAAACATCTGGGGATATTCAGTAAAATACATTATTTCCTGTAATTAGTTTTAAATAGTAGCCTTCACAATAGACTTTGAAATATGATTCTAAGGCCTCAAAATATTAAAAATAGAACTACCATATAATCCAGCAATCCCACTACTGTGTATATATCCAAAGGAAATGAAATCAGTATGTCAAAAAGAGATACCTGCACTCCCTTGTTTATTGCAGCACTATTCACAATAGCCAAGGTATGAAATCAATGTAAATGCCCATCAATGGATGAATGGATAAAGAAAATTAGGTATATATACATTATAGAACACTATTCAGCCATTTAAAAAAAGAATGAAATCCTGTCATTTGTCACAACATGGATAAACCTGGAAGGCATTACATTAACTGAAATAAGCCAGACACAGAAAAATACCACATGATCTCATTCATATGTGGAATCTAAAGAAGTTAATTTCATAGAAGTAGAGAATAGAATAATGGTTACCAGAGGCTGGAAAGGGTGTGGGGGAGGGAGGAGAGGATAGGGAAAGATTAGTCAATGGGTACAAAGTTAGATAGGAGAAATAAGTTCTGATGTTAAGGTGATTATTGTTAACAATATTGTATTTCATATTTCAAAATAGCTAAAAGAGAGGATTTTGAACATTCTCACCACAAAGAAATACTTGTATGATAAAAGTATGAAGTGATGGTTATACTAAATATTCTGATTTGATTTTTACTCAATGTATACATATATCAAAATATCACACTGTATCCCACAAATATGTATAATTCTGTGTCAATGAAAAACAAAAAAAAAATAAAATAAAATTCTACAGCATAAATTTAAAAAAGAGAGGTATGACATTTGAAATAGAGGAAATAAAACTGTTACAATTTTCAGATGATAAATTTATTTATATTAAAGCCCCAAATGAGTCTACTGAAAATAATTCAGAAATATTACAAAAGTTTAGTGATGTGACCGGATATAAGATTAATATACAAAAATTGCTGGCAGCAAACAACTAGAAAGTGTAATTTAAGAGAAAGTATCATTTACAATAGACTCAAAGAACATTAAGTATCTCAAAAGAAATTTAACATACAAATTTTAAACTTTATTAAGAGAATTCTTTTAATCTACATAAATGAAGAGATAATATCTTTTTGGATAGGAAGGTAATATAAAAACTTGTCAATTCTCTCTCAGATTGATGTATAGACACTCATTATTATTCCAAAACAAACCACAATAAGGACTTTCTTGAAACATAATAATTTAAAATTTATATGGAACTGTAAAGGACCAAGAAGGAGATCAGTGAGAGGAAACTTGCCCTTCAAGAAAGCAGGGCTTATTATGAAGCTATTATAATTAGTGCAGGGCAAGGTGAGACCAACAGATTTATGGAATAGACAGAACAGAGAACCCAAAAACAATTTCATGCATTTGAGAAACCTTAGTACATAACAGAGGCGGTACATCAGATCAGTGGGAAAAGGAGGGCTATTCTATACATCCAATGTAAAATAAAATCACATTCCTATTCAAGTCACAAACAAAAATCAACTTCAGATGAATTAAGGACTTAAATGTCAAAAAATAAAACTTTAAAATCTCTTAGTGGGAAATAAAGTTGAATACCTTTTAGAACTTGGAGCAAGGAAAGATTTCTTAAATATGACATGAAAAGCATTTGCTATAAGAGATAGCTAAATTTGGCTATATTAAAATTAAGAGTTTTGATTCATCAATGGCACCTTAAAGAAGTGAAAAGTTACAAACTTGAAGATATTCATAATACACAAATGGTAAATAGTCTCCAGTGATGTCTGCCATCAGTTCCTTCTTTCTCTGTGCCTGCTATGTCATCCATTAAGAAATGGAGGCTATTTTCCCTGGAAGCTGTTCTCCCCTCTTGAATCTAGACTGACTTTATTATTTGCTCTGTTGTAGCAGAAGTGTCATTCTGAAGTAGGCCTTAAAAGGACTGGCAGATTCTGCTTCCTTTCTCTTGGAATCCAGCCTCCAGGTGAGAAGTCCATCTACTCCCAAATCACCATGTTGTGAGAAGGCCCAAGATAGCCAACTGGAAAAGACATATGGAAGAGCACTGAGACACATTAGTGAAGCCCTCTTGAACCATCCAGTCCATCCTAGCCACCAGGTGAATGCAACTGAGTTACTCCAACTGACACCACATGGAGCACAAGAACAACACAGCTGAGCCCAGTCAACCCACAGAATTGTAAGGGAAGAAAAAATTTACTGTTGTTTTAAGCCACTAAGTACCAGGGTGGTTTGTTACACAAGAATCAATAACTGAACAAAGAACATAAAACCAACAAACAATCTAATCAGAAATATACATCAAATTCCTACAAATTAATAAGTATAAATAGCTCAATATATTGAAAAATGGGCAAAAATAAAAATAGGCATTTAACAGAATAGTAACCACATATGGCAATAAACATTTGAAGAAATGTTTATCATTACTGTTATTAGTGATCAAGGCAGACCACAATGCAACACTATTTTATACCTAGTCAATAAGCCCAAATTTAAAGTTTTGTGATAACAAGTGTTAAAAAAGATGGTAGGGTGTGAATTGGTACAAAAACTTTGGAAACTGTTATGGCATTACCTCCTAAAGTCCAAAAGTCATCTTTCCTACGACACATCGATTCCACTTCTAAGCTCATAACCCAAAAAGAAACTCTTGCACAAATTTGATAGCATTGTATTCAAGAATATTCATAGCAGCACTGTTCACAAGAGCAAAATCCTGAGAATAACCTAATTGCCCAACCACAGGAAAATGGATGAATAAACAGAGATATATTCACACAATGAATGAACATATGAAAATAATAAATAGGTGAATATATACAACAAGACACAATGTGGATGAATCTTAGCAATATAATATAAAGTGGAAAAAAACATGATATACTTTTTATAAAGTTAAGAGCAACCAAACTAAAAAGCACTTACTTTTTAGAAATACACAGATGTAATAAAGACTGTATAAAAGGAAAGCAAAGGAATAATTAGTAAAGGTTCAGGAGGATAATTTCCCCAGACGGTGGGAGACAAAGGGATGAGGTAGGGGGAATTATATGGTTAGACACACGTTATTATCAAGGCTCTGTTTTTATTTTTGGTAGAAAGTTCATGGATGCTTTTTGTACTATTTAAAATACATGCATCCAGGGGCCGGCCCGGTGGCGCACTGCTACAGTGCGCCACTTGGGAGTGCGGCGGCACTCCCACCGAGGGTTCGGATCCCACATACAGACCGGCCGCTCACTGGCTGAGCGAGGTGCGGGGGCAACACCGAGGGTTGCGATCCCGTTGCCGGTCCCAGTCTGGTACGGGCGCGACACTGAGGGTTGCGATCCGTTGCCAGTCACGAAAAAAGACAAAAAAAGGGAAAAAAAAAAAACAAAACTTCAAGGTGAAGAAACTAAGTCTGAAAGAGGTGACCTACTTCTCCTCAAACCACACAGCTAGGATGTGCTGGGACCAGGACATATGTGTGGTTACTGAACCCCCACAATGCTTTCCACCCTGTCCTGGATGTTCTGCAGCCTGTCTTAGATTTGGACAGAATGTGAGGCAGTCCTGGAATAGCAATTATATGACTTTCCAAACACCTTCCCACTACCAGATATGTGGGAAGGGACCCAGCTCAGGAAAGAACCATGTCCAGCAGAAGTTGAGGTGCACACCCTTATACCAGCCACAGGAAACCTGGCAAGATGAGCATTTCACCACATTTATCCTTCAACGGCCCAATTAGGTGTCACCACATCCAAGCTGCCTGGAACCCCACTTCTAGTCTTCACTCACTAAGGTTCTGGAGGCTATGGTGTCCCAAGTGCCCAAACCCCAGCCAGCTGGAGCCCTAATGTGGAGAACCTCCTGGAGAGTACCAATTCCAAACTTGGGATTGCGCCTTTGCAAAGACCTTGTTCAGAGCATCCACCCATCTGAGAGGCACAAAAGAACATGGGCTGGTTACTGATGACCAGGGCATGCATTTTGTAAATTTCCTGAATGTTTGCACGCAGTGGGGTGAATGGCAATTACGCAGAGCACCAAGAGCACCCAGCTCTGTGGCTCCCACACGTGAGGTTTCAGGACACCAGGGGGCGGACATCATGTCTCTACTGTGCCAGGTCCCTAGAGGTAGGGATTTGAGGGAGAGAGAAGACAAGGGACTCAAAGTTGGTTCCAAGTATTTTTTTTAAAATGCAAGTCAGATAAGCAAATATCTACAAAATTTATACATGTAAAAAAACTTGTGCGCATTCAGGCTAAATTCTAGGGGCTTTTTCTTTTTAACTCGTTTCGAAGTTAAACATTTTGGAGTAGAATAGGCCGAGGTTCAAATCCTGACTCTACCAGTTACAGCTGCAGAACGTTAGTCGAATTGTTTAGCATCCCATGGACTCCATTTTCTCTTTATTAAAGTGGGCTAAGGGGCCGGCCCGGTGGCGCACTGCTCCCACATACAGACCGGTTCCGCTCACTGGCTGAGCGAGGTGCGGGCGCAGCACCGAGGGTTGCGATCCTGTTGCCGGTCCCGGTCCGGTACGGGCGCGACACTGAGGGTTGCGATCCATTGCCGGACACGAAAAACGACAAAAAGGAAAAAAAAAATAAAAAAAATAAAGTGGGCTAATACCGCGGATCGCAGGCGGTGGTCGTGAAGCTTACATGAGATGCTGTTTAAAGAAGCGCTCTGCACCAGATGGTGTGATCACACTGCCACCGGAACCGCAGTGCTTGTTGAAAATACAGACTCTTGGGCCCTACCCTGGACTTACAGAATCAGCATCTCTGCTGGGAGCCAGGAATCAGAATTTTAACAAAGCACCCCAAGTGATTCTTCTGCCCACTGTAGTCTGGGAACCCCAGAGGCAATGGTGACTCACACACGGGTGCCCCACTAGTGATGGATGGTGCAGCCGCAGTCATAGAGTAGCTGCACTGGTGACAGTGATGGCAAAAGGAAACATCCATGTGCTAGACATGGTACTTTTACTTCACGTGTACTAACTCTTAATTTTCATGACAATCCTGTAGGGCAGGCATGATCATCAGACCCTTTTACAAATAGGGAGACAGAAGCACGAAGAGATGGAGCAATTTGTCTACATCGTGGAGCCAAGGTAGGAACCCAGGGAAAGATGACTGTGGGTGGGAAGGGGGGAAGGGGAACCACTGTCTAGGGGTAGCAAGTGTGACTTCTCAATCTACTGGCCCCTCAGAGATCTGGGCTTGGCCAGAAAACATGTGTTCTCCTGCTGGGCATCGCCTGCCTGTGGGTCAGACAGGACCATGTAAAGAAAGATGTTTTTAGGCTTCTCCACCCATAGACAACAGAGACCTGTGTTTTTTTCTATATTGATATAATGTTTCACTGTATTCACTTTTTACTCTCCCAGAAATGATTTTACACATTCTCCTGGCTCCTCGAAACTCCTGCACCACCCCTCCTTCCCTGACCTCATGAATCTGCTGAACTTGCTCATCTTCCTGATCCACAACTCTCCCTGCATCTGTGCCCACACTTCTGCCTGCCCTCCCATTGCTATGGAGAAGCTGTCTGTGCTCTAAAGCACCCCCCCCAACACACACACACAATCATCCTCCTGCACCTCAATCCTTCTCTTCTACTGGATCATTCCCATCAAGATAGAAATGAGCTCGCTTGAAAGAAACAAACTTCTACTTTCCCCTCGCACACTCCACTTGACCCACACTGACTGCTTTGCTATTTCTCAATCAGTCCAAGGCAGTCCTGCCTCAGGGTCTTTGCACATGCTGTTCCCTCTCCTGGGAACATGCTTCTCCCAGACTTAAGTCTCTTCTCAGAGAGGTCTTCTCTAGCAACCCCAATGAAATGAATAAATGAAATAAATGAAAGAAAGAAAACTCAACAAGTTTATTGCAATCTTAAGTGATTTTCCTTAGTTCTCCCAGCATATTCTGCTACTTCTTCAAGTTTTTAAAAAATACTTAGAATTCAATGGCACACTGAAGATACATTCAGTGATGAGTTGTCGCAATGAAATAGGAAAGCAGCTTGCAAACATACAGGAAAATTTTAAAGTCCAAAATTTTTGCATTCTCATCAAATCACTATGCCAACTACCTTTTATAGAATCTTTGCCACCAATGTCTTTAAGGCACACAAATGCTCAACAACAATTAGTTTCTGCAGAGCCAATCCCAGTACATAAGGAGTAGGACATTTCATTTCACAACTCCACCCCTTCCTCCCCAGATGCAGCCCTCAGAGTCCTCACTGGTAGTAAAGGAATCATCCAACTGCTGGGTTCTGTCCAAAAAGTGGGTCGAAGGCTCACAAGTATACAGTGTACCCACCTTTGTTAAGCAAGGCTAAAGGCTCGGACAGCCTTTCCCCTTCCACATACAATACTCAGGTTGACTCCTGATGACTCCTTTCCTTCCTGTTTTTTTTTTCCTTTTTTTAAGTTCTATATATTTAAGGTGTACGACATGATGTTTTGATATACATATACATAGCAAAATGATCACTGAAGTCAAGCAAATGAACATATCCATCTCCTCACGTAGTTACCTTTGTGTGTATGTGTGGTGAGAGCACCTGAAATCTACTCTCTTCACAAATTTCCAGTATCCAATATGGTATTATTAAACATAGTCCTCATGCTGTACATTAGACTTATTCTGCATACATGCAACTTTGTACCCTTTGATCACCATCTCCCCATTCCCCCTACATCCTCCTCCCTAACCATCGTTCTACTCTGTTTCTATGTATTTGACTATTTTAGATCTCA